AAAATAAAATAACAAATAAAATAAAATATATAAAATGGCTCCGGAGGCCACATCCGGAGTAGGATCCCGGCGGATGTACTCTCAGAGATGTCCTCTAATCGTAGAAGATAGGAGGATCATCGCTTCGGTTCTGATCGGGGGTCGAAGGATGACCGCCACGATCGACACCGGGGCCACACGCAGCCTTATGACCGAGGATTGCGTGCGCCGGCTGACGATTCGAGGAGAGTTCCTAGATGTGCAGTCSCGGATTACACTGGCCGATGGGTCTGCACTACATGTAACGAAGATGATAATGGTAGAGGTAGGTCACGCAGGGAAGGTGGTACAGATGGCGATGCTCGTCATGCCRACCATGCTTGACCACCTCATCCTAGGGATGGACTTCCTGTGCGCCATGGGTACCACGTTGCGTTGTGGCAACGCGAAGCTCATAATGAGGATGGTAGAGGAGCCGATGAGAGAAACGCCGCTGCCACAGCTCCCAGTGAAGAAGGAGAGCGCGGTGGTGACGGATGGAGGATTGCCAGTCGACGGACAGGGCGCGTCGTCCTGGGGCTGGGCGGAGAAAGTAGATCATAGTTCGCAGAAGCAGGAACTCAGCGAGTGTCCTCCTACAGCAAGGACAAATGATCTGGAGGTAGGGCCTAAGAAGGTAAAGACAATGGGACTAGAGGTCGAAGGTAAATCCAGAGGTAGCCCGTCGACGCAAGGAGTACTGGATAAGGAGGCTGGAGGGCGAGCGGCATCGCCGGGAGGTTTGTGGACAAGGAGAGGCGACGACAGGGCGGCGCATCACGAAGCCGCGCCTAGTCGCGGAAAAAGGGAGGCAGAGCCGATGCCGCAACATCGCGTGGATGCCAGGCCAAGGAGAGGTCACCGCGACGACTCCCCTCGGGTGGCGGTGCGATATACACCGAGGGCCGTGAAGAGTCGCCGGTGGATAAGCGACCCTATCTCCAGGTCGGAGCATTCAGCCGAACGGGCACAGGGAGTGGGACGCAGACGCCGCCGCTCTAGAAGCCGCGAGCGCCCGAACACCGTGGGACGACCGGTTCCCGGCGAGCCCGCCAGACGGAGGATGAGGATGGACTGCGTGGGACAGCCGCCAGCTCAGCCGCGGCAGCGGACGCCGGACGTTCCCCGTGCGGGCGTCCAAGAGCCCACCCGAGGTGGCCGAGAGGCTACGGATGCGTCACCCCCGAAGAGCCCGTCGTGGGGAGCAGAGCTCATGGTCGATATAGCTGACGTCCTCGAAGGGTGGGATTCAGACTTGGCGGATTGGTTCGACAGCGAAGACGTGGCGGAGCGGCAGATGCCCTGTAACTGGAAGGTGCATCCGGCCGGAACCGTCCTGAGCGCGGACGCCATTAGGTTATTGAGGAGGGAGATCGAGGCTTGCGGCCGGCGGCACCGACGGACTAGGTTCAGGATTTCGGCTGACGGTGCCGTCTTTAACATCACGGTGGCGGCCACAGGAGCCGTGGTCGTCTCCCGACGGCTGTAAGGCGGCTCGCCAGCCCACCGCCCAATATTTTGGTAGTAAACAAGCTTGTAGTAGTAGGTTTGTAATATATAGGTTTGTAGTAATTAAGTTGTAGTCATGTAATGTACTTTTGAAGCTCGTAGTGATAAGTTTGTAGCTGTGTAGTTTCGTAGTTTTAATTAGTAGAATGTAAGTATTATTAAGTTTAAATATTGTTAGTCCTAAGTTTGATTTCCCATCTGGAAATCGCCGATTAAACCTTTCCTCCGTCCGCGTGCGAAGCTTGAGTGCGCCTCGCGGCGCCACTCGGCTTGGGCCGCCCTCCGCTGGCACGCGCGTGGACGCGGCGGACACCTCATAATCCCACACCTCATCCCTTCCCCTCTCCTCGCCCCATGCCCCACAATTATAAATTTCTTGTGAAAGTACCCTGGGCAGACTGAGTCTGCCCCAGCGAAATTTACTCTACAATTTATATGCAGGTAAATATCATCATATGAGATTACATGTACATACTATGTATGTATTGTATATAGATGCGTTTGCATAAATACGAAGGTAGGTATTTAGGTACATATGTGTATATTCAGTTATGGATGTAGTATGGGTTTGTCAATATGTATGATGAATGAATATGTTATGAATTAGATATTCTCAGATATGTATACACATATGTATGTGAGATGTATGATTTTTGATGTTTGGCATATGATGAATGATACCTGATGCATGATAGTAGAATGCATATAAATATGATGTATGATGCGTAAAGATGTTTGTTGTATGATGTATGATATTTAAATGAATGTTTGAATGCATATAAGTGATGTGTGATGTATGATGTTTAAATATATGTATTTGATGCACGTTGCATGGTGTTAAATGATGTCTGATGTATACCACACAATGTTTGATGTTTAATTATATGTATATACATATGTCTGATGTATGCACATGGATACTACGAGCACAATAATTTAGGAATTACCATTTGCCTGGGCTAAAGCATGATATATGCGGTTAGACAAATACGAAATATTTTTCCAGTTACATATATTCCATAAATCGACCAGTAAAACTCGTTATGTAATTGATTTTTGTATTGTTTTATTTTATTTTATTAATATTTTC